TAAATTAAAATATCTAAGAAAAAAATATATTGCATCTTTGCTGATATCGCTATAGGAAATGATAACATGAACTAGGCAATGATATCATTTCCTTCCGATATTAGGAATTATCATCATTTCCGGTAACATATACATATTAGTCGTATTTTAATTATATATCAAATAGTCTGACGCCACGGTGTCGTGTCACTGCGGTAATCAATTGGTCATCGATCGCTATACCTATCGTGGATCTCAACGTATCGTCTTCATCAGAGAATACTGGATACCTCTTGACATGGAGTAGAACACCCTGATTGTCCAGAATTTTCGTCCCCCGTAGGTCCAAGGGATGACAACCAGACAAAACGGTGATATCACAGATAATCACAACAACAATTAYAACAACAGCGGCGACCATGGTGGTGGTCGATGTCGGGTAATAATTTATGTTAATCGTAATTGAATATATTATATTTATCGAAACTATACATGTATAACTATAACTATATGTGTCTATAATAATATATTTATCTGCACATCACACTATTTTGTATAAATTTATTAAAATCCACGTTTCTCCGACTTAAATCGTCTCGGATTTGTGGTGTTCGGTGACCTTACAGGGSCCGATCGTAAGGGAAACCTTTTTATTTTTTCTTATTTAGAAAAGTTAAAATATACAATCTATGATTTATATACAATAGGTAATTTTGATGGTTTATTATTTTTTACAAGACGCGGTGGCGTGATCGTAGAGGGTGCCCAGTGACACTACTTCAAAAAGGGAAACTTTACACCTATTTTTATATAAGTTATAATTTATTTGTCTTACGCAATGTATTAAGAACAAACGAACAGGTACAACAATTGTACAGAAAATAATATACATAGTACAAGTTGTAAAAGGCACAAGACCTGGAATGGGCAGGTCACGTTTGGAGAACTGATAATAGTATTGCCAAGACGGTACTTGTAAACAGCTTGAACAGAAAAAGACCTCGCGGGGTAGGTTAGGTTAAATAAAATTAAATAAATATAATAATTAAAATGATAGCAAAATTCACGAAATGTTGAAAATTAATAGGTATAGTTTCATTCAAAAAAAGAACCCGTTGGTACCTATTCAAGTTTTTCACCGTCTAAAAATCTATGATTGTAATATTATTAAAAAATAAACGTTTTGTCTTAAGTTGTGTCATATTTTAAAATATTTTTTCAGTATCGATTAAATAACTATTATATTGCATTGTATTGCTGTTTCCAATTTGAAATGGAAGAATCAACTGGAAACCCATATTATAGATTATTGAGTACATATTATTAGTTACAATGTATTAGTTAATATCTTAAATTTGTYCACCTTTTTAAAAAATAACACTTTCTAGTGTACTATATTTTTGGAGATAAAATTTTCAAAATATTTTGATTAATATCTTAAAAAYCAAAGATTTTGTAGGGTTGAGACCAAAAGTTTACTTTTTTAAAAACTATAAAGTCGTTTTCTGAACAATCACTTTTTTGTCGATAACGAGTTTTGGAAAGAAGTCAACGATATTTTCAAATTTAAATAGTTTGGAAGATGACTTTTCATTTTTATTTAAATTGTGAATTTAAAATTAATTATTAACAAGTATAAGTGTATAACGTCAAAGTGTTAATCAAAACACTTATAATTTAAAAAATATAATAATCTAATAAAGCGAGCCTGAAGTAGGGCTAATGACTTTTTAACTTAGTCTATCTTCTGCATGTAAGTCTAATATATCTGTAAGCTAAATTTCGTCGCAATCGGTCCAGACCTTAAGGAATGCATAAAGGAAAAAYAGACAGAAATYTATTTTTACACATAAATAGATAGAATAAAGATTAAATAAATATCTATA